CAGCTTCCACATGAGGCTATTGAAAAGATGAGGTTATTGAAAATATCATAGCTTGGGTCAGGCACACGTTAGTCCTCAAACTGACATCTTTGCTCTTGAACACTTTAAAGAGGTCTTGGGCAGCAGAATTGCCTAATGCAAGAAGTCCTTTGATTTCTTGACTGCTGCTTTTATGACTGTTAATTGTAGATTCAAGCAAAATGAAGTCTTTGACAACTTCAATCTTTTCTCAATGTAATTGGATGTTATTTATCGGTCCAGTTGTGAGAATTTTGAGCGTCTCTGTCTCTTCCCACAGACATAGTCACTTTGATTCCTGCATATTCCATTTAGTGAGTCTATGTGTATGTCACCTTTTATGTTGTTTAACAAAAATATTTGCAATGAATATGTCATTGGTCTTGCAAAATTCTATCATGCAACCTCCAGCATAATTTCCAGCACTGAGGCTATATTTCCCAACTACTGATCCATTCTCGTTGTGTCCAAACTTTGCATTCTAATCATCAATAATTGTTAATGCATCTTAATTGCATGTTTTATCAATTTTAGACTGAAGAATCTGGTAGAATTCTTCCATTTCATTATCATTGGCTTTGGTGTTTGGTGTGTAAATTTGAATTAACTGGCCTTCCTTGTAGGCATATGGATATTATTCTATCACAAGCAGCTTTGCATTTCAAGATAGATCTTGAAATGTTCTTTTTGAAGATGAATGCTAACCATTCCTCTTAAATTTTGTGTTCCTAGCATAGTAAATCATGACTGTAGATTCAAAATGGCCAGTATTAGTCCATTTCACTCACTAATGCCTAGGATATCGATCTTTATGCATTCCATTTCATTTTTTTGCAACCTCCCATTTTCCTAGATTCACACATCATACATTCCATGTTCTGACTATTATGTGGATATGTGCAGCTGTTTCTCTTCATTTTGAGGTGTGCCCCGTTGGCAAATGAAGGTCCAGACAGCTGTACTTTCCTCACGTCATCATGGTCAACTCTTCTTTGATGACGCAGCTCTTCCCCAGTGACACTTGGTGTGCCTTCCAACCTAACGGGGGTATCTTCCAGCACTACATCTGACAATGTTCCGTTGCTATTCATAAGGTTTTCAGTGAGTGAGCATTCAGAAATAGTCTGTCTCCTTCTGTCTAGTCTGTCTTAGTCTGAAACCTGTCCACCGTGGACATATGGCTCTTATCCTATCACAGACACCAGTGTACTTCAAGATCGATTTTGAAATGCTCTTTTTTGACAATGAATGTGATTCCATTCCTCATCATTTTTGTTGTTCCAGCATTGTTGTTGTTTTTAAGTGCTGTCATGTCGGTTCCAACTCATAGTGACCTTGTATAAGGCTTCCTAGGAGTGACTGGTGAGCTTAAACTGCTGACCTTGCGTAATAAACCCTCCTTGCGTAGTAAACCCTATTATTGTCCAATTCAAAATGACCAATGCCAGTCCATTCCATCTCACTAATTCCTAGGATATCGTTTCTTATGTGCTCCATCTCATTTTTTTTTTTTTCATCTCACATTTAAAGATGTCCAAGTTTCCTAGATTCACACTTAGTACATTCCAGGTTCATGACTAATGGGTTTGTAGCTGTTTCTTTTCATTTCAATTTGTGCCCCATCAGCAAATGAAGGTCCAAAAAGCTTTGCTCCATCCATGTCCTTAAGGTCAACTCTACTTTGAGGAGGCAGTTCTTTTCCAGTCATATTTTGAGTGCCTTCCAAATTTAGGAACTTATCTTCAGGCACAGTGTTCTGCTGCTAATCATAAGGTTTCTTGCATCTGACCTTTCCCAAGTGGTCTGCTTCTCCTTCTTCCTAGTCTGTCTTAGCCTGGAAGCGCCACTGAAACCTGTTCACCAAGGGTGATCTGCTGCTACCAGTGGCATAGCCTCCAGCGTCACAGCAACACACAAGCCATGAACAAATTGACAGATTAATGGTGAGTATGAACTGTTGACCTTGAAGTTAATGTTGTTGTTGTTAGGTGCCATCGAGTTGGTACCGACCCATAGCGACCTTATGCACAGCAGAATGCACACTGTCCGATCCTGGGCCAACCTCACTACTGTTGCCACACTTGAGTCCATCAATGCTGCCACATGGCCAATCCATCTCGTTGGGGGTCTTCCTCTTTTTCTCTGACCCTCCACCTTACCAAACATGATATCTTTCTCCAGTGACTGGTCCCTCCTGACAATATGTCCAAAGTATGAGAGATGAAGTTTGGCCATTCTGGCCTCTAAGGAGCATTCTGGCTGCACTTCTTCCAAAACGGATCTATTGGTTCTTTTGACAGCCCATGGCACTTTCAATATTCTCCTCCAACACCATAACTCAAAGGCATTGGTTCTTCTATGGTTTTCGTATTTCATTGTCCAGCTTTCACATGTATATGAGGTTATTGAAAACACCATGGCTTGGGTCAGGCCCACTTTAGTCCTCAAGCTAAGATCTTTGCTCTTCAACACTTTAAAAAGGTCTTGTGCAGCAGATTTGCCTAATGCAAATGCAGTTAATAGTCCAGTGCTTATCCTACAGTGCCACAACAAGACATCCTATATATCCCATTGACCTAAGGTCAATTCCTACTCTTAGTGACCCTACAGGACAGAGGAGAACTGCCCTTTCCAAGATTTTCAAGGTTGTAAATTTTTATGGGTTTGAACCACTGGCCTTTTGGTTAATCTAGAGGTTAACCACTGTGCATTCCCACCCCCCACCCTCCCCTCTCCCTTGGTACTTGGAGAAATCAGTTGAGAAAATTATAAAGTCATTGTAAAATGTTAATGATTGAATATGGGCAAAAAAATATATGCGTGTCTGCTGTATTTTTTGTTAGCTAGTTTTCTAACTTTAAAATTATTTTCAAGTACAATATAAAATGAATTGATTTTGGAAAACAATTTGATTTTTTGGCAGATTAAGAAAATGGCATTATCCTTTAAGAGACAATGTTGTGGAAACACTGTAAATCCAAAAACCTAAATTCAGTCACCTCTCCGCACCCTCCACCCCCACCCCATCGCTCTGTGCTTCAATTCCTCCATTTAACTATGATGTTCAAATGAAAGACTGTATATCAAATATCACAAAGTCCTTCACCAACTCTAAGATACTCCTGCTATATGTCAGTGTAAAAGAGAAAATATGTAACAAGTAGGTATCAAGCCCTAGACGCCTTGGTTGGTGGTGGTTATGTGTCATGGAGTTGGTGCTGACTTACAAGGACCCTGTACAGGGTTTCCAAGGCTGTAAATCTTTATGGGAGCAGAAAGCCTCATCTTTCTCCTCGGAACAGCTGGTAGTTTCGAACTGCTAACCTTGAGGTTCTTAGCCCGCTTCATAACCACTACACTACTAGATGCCTTGTTCTTGTTGTTAAGTATCCTGGAGTCGGTTCCAACTCATAGGGACCCTGCATAAGGTTTCCGGACCCTGCATAGGGTTTCCGAGGGTATAAATCTTTAGGGAGCACAAAGCCTCATCTTTCTCCCGCGGAACAGCTGGTAGTTTCGAACTGCCGACCTTGAGGTTAGCAGCCTGCTTCATAACCACTACTACCAGCTTAAAGTGAAGAGGACTTAAAACATTTATTGATGAAGATCAAAGAGCGCCTTTGGTATGGATTACATCTCAACGTAAAGAAAACAAGAATCTTCACCACTGGACCAATAAATAACATTCTTATCAATGGAGAAAAAATTGAGGTTGTCAAGGCCTTCATTCTTCTTGGATCAACTATCAACACTCATGGAAGCAGCAGTCAGGACATCAAATGACGTATTGCATTAGGCAAATCTGGGGCACAAGACCTTTTTCAAGTGTTTGGGAGCAGTGATGTAAGCTTGAGGACTAAGGTGTGCCTGACCCAGGCCATGGTATTTTCAATAAGCTCATATGCATGCGAAAGCTGAACCGTGAATAAGGAAAACTGTATTAGAATTGATGCTTTGAAGTGATGGTGTTGGAGGAGAAAATTGAAAATGCCATGGGCTGCCAAAAGAACCAGTAGATCCGTTTTGGAAGAAGTGCAGCCAGAGCGCTCCTTGGAGGCCAACATGGCCAAACTTCTCTCTCATACTTTGGACATATTGTCAGGAGAGACCAGTCGCTGGAGAAAGATATCATGTTTGGTAAGGTGGAGGGTTCAGAGAAAAAGAGGAAGACCCCCAACGAGATGGATTGGCCAAGTGGCTGCATCTATGGACTCAAGCGTGGCAACAGTAGCGAGGTTGGGCCAGGATCGGGCAGTGTTTCGTTCTGCTGTGCATAGGGTGGCTACGGTTCAGTGCCGACTCGATGGCACCTAACAACAGCAACAACACCCTACCAGAGCTCCTTACTAGATGCCTTGTTGTTGTTGTTGTGAAGTGCCGTCGAGTCGATTCCGACCCATAGCGAACCTGTAGAGGGTTTCCAAGGAGCAGCTGGTGAGCTTGAACCACCGACCTTGCAGTTCAAAGGACTTTGCAGTCTGACGCATTAGCCCACAGCACCAGGACTTCACTAGATGCCTTAGTGCTTCTCAAACTGCGGCCCACTCCATTGTCAATTTTCATGGGCCACAAGGCTTTCTCCTTGCAAGGGCGAGTTTTGTACTCAAAACTCGCCTTTTCAGGTGGTAGACGGCAGCTGTGCCCAGAGCGAAGCAGCTGACCTGCATCACGTGAGATGCTGGGTCTACGCACTTAGAGCTCTCCTGGCTCTAGCCCCGCCTCCTTCTCGAACGTCGTCGCGGGATCGCCCTGGAAACGCATTCTCGTAGGAACCGACATCCACCAATGAGAAGGAAGTGAGTGCCACGAACTAACCAATAAGGAAGGAGTGGTGCGGGGTTTAAACCTAAGGCGGGGCTGGCTTCTCCCGGCGTGCTGCGGAGGAACGGCTGTTGCTCTGTGGTAGCTTTTGGTCCCCGGCAATTCTGGGGTTCTCGAGTTCTGCTTCTTCCTCTGAATTGCTGCCTGGTGAAGGGGAAGCCATGGCACTCCGAATCACTAGGGTGAGTTACTGCCAACTGAGAACAAAACGCAGCCTTCCCCACCTTGTGTCCCGTCTCCTTTTTTGCGTCTGCGGAACTCTCCGGCAGGGATGGCCCGGGCAGCAATTTGGGGAAGAGGATTAGGGTCGCTGAATGAGTGCCGAGGTGAACTCCCTGTATGGTGAAGGGGTTTGGGGAAAAGACAGACGAATTGAGAGATGAGAAAAAGAACTGAAAGGACCATACCCTTGTATGAGTAGGTGGCGGGGCGGATCACTGGCAAGCTTTTTTTATTTTAATGTGACCCACAGTGAGCCCCCACCAATCATGTTGCCCCTTCCCAGAAAGTAGTTGTCAGAAACCGCAGGCTTCCGCTTCTTTCATTTGTAAACTCACGGTGGGTTTGTGCGCCGGATGCGCCGGGGCTTTTGCCAACTCCTCAAATCTAGGGAATTCCGAGGTTTGGGGAGGGGAGGTGAGGCCGAGTCGACCGTGGCGTTTCAGGTTTCCCGTCCGAGCCCATTTGCAGCCAGCTTTCCTGCGGAGGGAGAGCTTCGCGTGTGCAGCACAGTAATTAACCTATGACTTCCTTAGCCTGGCGAACTTCTAAAGTGGTCTTGCTTCTTTTGCAGAACACGAAAATGAGTGTTGAAAACAAGGCGAAGATCAGTGTGGCAGGCGCCAAGAGAGTGCCTGTGGCCAGTGCTCCCGCCTCCAAGCCGGGCTTGCGACCCAGAATAGCGCTTGGCGACATTGGGAACAAAGTCAGTGAACAGCCGCAGGCCAAAATGCCTCTGAAAAAGGTAACTAGCCTCCTGACCCACCGTCTCTATTGAAAGTCCACGGGTCCCTGGATGAAAGAGACATTTCAATTTCACTCTCTTCCTTCCATCTGCAGGAGGTCAAAACTTCAGCTGCTGGAAAAGTTCTTGCCAAAAAATTGCCAAAACCTCTGGAAAAGGCAATTTTGCCTGAGCCTGAACCAGAACCTGAGCCTGTTAAAGAAGAAAAACTTTCTCCTGAGCCTATTTTGGTAAACTCATTCTCCTATTTTAGTCACTTGATTGTTTTTCTCCTTTCACTAATGCGTGGAGTAGGTTTAACTCAGAATTTTCACATACAAGGGGCCTTCAAAAGCTTGAAGAAAATTCTGTTGCTTTTCATTCCATTTTTCCACTAACTTTTTGAAGCCCCCTAATAATATCTGGAAGGAGCTCTGGTAGCATAGTGGTCACGAATCGGGCTGCAAGCCTCAAGGTCAGCAGTTCGAAACTACCAGCTGTTCTGGGGGCGAAAGATTAAGCTTTCGGCTCCGGTAAAGATTTACAGTCTCAGAAACCGTGTACAGGGTCGCTATGAGTCAGAACCAATTCCACAGCACATAACTACCGCCACCAATAATATCTGGGAGTCCTGGTGTGGCACTGTGGGCTAATGCATCAGACTGCAAAGTTGTTTGAACTGCAAGGTTCAAGCTCACCAGCTGCTCCTTGGAAAACCTATAGGGTCGCTATGGGTCGGAATCGACTTGATGGCACTTAACAGCAGTAATATTTGGGGAGTCCTGGTGTGGTGCTCTCGAATAAGTCTTGAACAGCAAGTTCGGTTTGAACTGTAAGGTTGGCAGTTCAAATCCACCAGCTGCTCCTAGGAAACCCTATAAGGCTTGCTATGAGTCAGAACCATCTCGATGGCACTTAACAACAATTTATCTGGACGGAATTCTGGTAGCAGAGTGGGTTGAGTTGGGCTGGTAACCACAAGGTGAACAGTTGGTATCAAGGAAGAAGTTGAGGCTCTCTGCTCCCATAAGGATTTAAAGCCTCGGAAAGCCTACATAGGGTCTCCGAGTCAGAACTGACTCCACAGCACACAGCAGCAGTAGCAGTATATCCAGAAGTTGGGAACGCCTAACAGTTTAAGCCTTGTCTGTCTAGAATTTATTGACTGAAACAGAATGTTCTTTTTTCAGTCACCTTGTTTATGGTGCTGTAGGATAAGCACTAGACCACAAGGTCAGTTTGAAGTGCAAGGTCAGCAGTTCAAACTCACCAGCCACTCCTTGGGGACCCTACACAGGGTTGTTAGGAGTTGAAACCGACTCAGCAGCACCTAAGAACAATAATTTTTGTAAAGGAGCCCTGGTAGTGCTGTGGATTAAGCATTTGTCTACTAAATGCATAATTTAAACCCACTTGCTACTCCACAGAAGCAAGATGAGGCTGTCTGTTCCCATAAAGATTTAGTTTCAGGAACCCTTTATCAGGTCCCTGGTTCTGTAGGTATGCCATGTTACTGTGATATCAATTAGACCAAAATTACACAGGATACTGATTTCTGTTATGATGTGCTTTAAACAACTTTAAGTCTTTAAATTAAAGGTGTGGCTAGAAAAACACAATGCTATCTTGGATGAATAGTATTAAAGAAAGTGCCAGGCTTGATGAGGCATGCACCCTGTTCCAATAAGCCTGTAACATTGTAATACAGGTGGGGCTTCCAAAAGTTCGTGGAAAAATGAAATTAAAAGGTGATGAGATTTTTCCACAGATTTTTTAACCCTCTTGAGTATACAAGTATTAAGCAGAAAGATGTTGAGCGAATGGGTTAAAAAATAATTGACACTAAGCCTCAAAAATCAGTAATTTTTATCAACTGTGTAAAGTTAGTTGGGGAACTGATCTGTAAATGTCATTCTTGCTAACTTCTATGTCTTAAGAGTAAGAGATTTGAAGTTACTTCTTTAATATTGACTTTCTGGACATAGCACATAAAATGTGTAACATAGCAGTCTTAAATATAGCCTTGACATGCTAAGACTACCTGAGGTTTTCTTGAGCGTCTCATACCTTTGTCTTGCCTTTGTCTTCCCACTGATTAATGCCTTCCCCACCCTCTATGAAGAGCTCTGGTAGCATTTGTAACAGCTGGTGGTTATGAATCGGGCTGCTAACCTCAGGGTCAGCAGTTCAAAACTACCAGCTGTTCTGAATGAGAAAGATGAGGCTTTCTGCTCCCGTAAAGATTTATAGCTTTGTAAACCCTGTACAGGGTTGCTATGAATCGAAACGACTCCACGGCATATTACCACCACACCCTCTATTTCATCTAGCGAATAAACTTTCATTCTTCAAAGCAGCTCAAGCATCTACTCCTGAAGCTTTCCTAATATCCACCACCCTACGCTTGTTACTAGACTCCTGATGTGGCCTAGAGGATCAGCACTGGACTACTAACCACAAGGTGTCAGCAGTTCAAACCCACCAGCTGCTCTTTGGAAACCCTATATAGGGTCACTATAAGTCGGAACCGACTTAACAACACCATTCTTATTACTAGAATCAATCTCATTATTCTCTTTTCTAATTTTATTTGAGGACTCAGTAACAACAAAGCCAATGCTGAGCACAGAACTTGACTTGAAGAAAGTTCATAATAAATGTTTGAACACTGGGGGAAGGGAACTTAAAGGAAATGCCTAGTTATAGTCCAGTTAATCCTTAATTAGGACAGAATTTATATTCTGAGTAATCAGAGCAGTTCATGTTTTGAAAGAAATGTTTGTTCTTTCTGAAGACTGGCTTCATGTAGGTTAACCTTCAAGTGGTTTGTTTGTAAACAGATTCAGTACTTAGCAGTTGCGTTTGTAGCAACATCTAGAAAATGAATCTTTGTTGTCGTTAAGTGCCATCGAGTCTGTTCCGACTCAAAGCGACCACCCTGTATAGGATTTCCAAGGAGCAGCTGGTGAGTTTGAACTGCTGACCTAGTGGTTTGCAGTCCAGTGCTGATCCTACAGCACCACACAGGGGTTGCCTTTGTAGATTTGTAGTAAAATCTAGAAAATGAATCTCTTTGCTCTTATTGTATTTTACCTGTCTTAGTGATTGTACTTTTGATATATTAACCATACCTTTAAAAGAAATTGAATAAATTGTAAAAGAAGATAATTTTCCTTTAAAGGAATGAATTATAGGAATATTCAGCACATAAATTCTTAATTCAGTACCAATCTGACCTTCATTCCTTAACTATTATAATGTGTGTTCCTGTTTGCTATTGTTTCAAGAGATCTCTGTCTTTCAAGGTGGATACTCCATCTCCCTGCCCAATGGAGACATCCGGATGTGCTCCTGCAGAAGAATACCTGTGCCAGGCTTTCTCTGATGTAATTCTTGCAGTGAGTGATGTGGATGCAGAAGATGGAGCTGATCCAAATCTTTGCAGTGAATATGTGAAAGATATCTACAGTTATCTGAGAAAACTTGAGGTCAGTACTAATCATCTTTGTTGTTGTTTTTTTCTATACTGCATCGATCTTCATAAAAGATATTTCCCAGTAGTGGTTCACAGTAATTAAAGAAAGAGTATTTCTCTAAGTTCTCCTCATTCATAGAATACCAAAGATAAAAGCAAAATATCCAGACCAATGAAGTCTTTATTTGTTCCTTTGAACAGAACAAGTTTAAAGTAACAGTGCACACTACTCCCATGGCTTTTCTTAAAGATACCACGGCACTGGAAAGTCTAGGCTGAGTGACATAGGTACTCCCATCACATTTGGGAAATAGCAAGTCCCGAATTCTCTGGGTCTTAGGGGCATATCCGGAGATGGACAGGGATGAAAAAGGTGGTGTGGAAAACTATAACCTTCCCCAACACGGCATTTTGTGCCAATGTAGTTGGTGTGTGTGTGCTTGTCAAGGGAATTGTAGTAGTGACATTTTACCCTTTCCCAAAAACAAGGATCATTTCTGTATGCTAACAACATAAACTAGAGTGACTAGATTTATGCCACAGGTTTTATATATGTGTTGGGGTTTATACCCTTGAACAGGAGTGTGGTAATACATGGATTTCAATTCTTTTGTTGAAATTTCCTCTATTTCATAAAGCTCAATGTCTTTTTTTAAACTTTTTATTGTGAATTGAGTGAAGATTAACAGACAAGATCATCAGCTTTACATTCAACAAATCGTACGCTTTGTTTCATCTTAGTGATTGCAATCCCTTCTCTGCAACGGCAATTACCCTGCTTCCTCCCTGTGGCTTCACTTTTACACCTGATATTTAACAACAACAACAGCATATGTTATATTTTGCAAATGAACAAAGCAAAAAATATTTAATGTACACATACAAACAAAAAAAAAAACCTATTAATTTAAATGTCCAAAGGCCAGCCTCCTGCCTGCAGGCACACAGCATTATTCATTATTCAGTCCATGAGTCAAGAGCCCGTAGCTGCATCGTCTCTCCCCACCATCCCCTTTTCCATCATCTCTGCTGTTGTTGCTTTTCTAGGTAGGATGTCATAGTCCATTCATGCTTTTCTTTCTTGCTGGTCCTGGAGTCATCTGTTCCTGAAATGAAAGATTAATGACTCCTACCTTTTTAGTTGTACATCTTCTACAACTATAATGATAACAATCACAGTTAATCCTGCTAGCAATCACAATTGAGTCATATAATCCTATCAACACACCAGATCCATCTGGAAAAGAGGAAAACTATTCAGTGGGGAGTTCTATATTACCCAGCTCATTTCTGAAACTAAACACACTCAGAAAAGCTTATAAGCCAGTCACTTCATGCATTTATGCCCCCCCACATTGCCATTTTTGATAGCCAGTGTCTAAATTGCCTGTCCCTATCAACCCAGTGCACTGAGGAAACAAGATTTTCCTTGATATGAAGAGTACTTCCATTCCAGTTGGAATTTTGAGTAACTACATCCATAAACAAAAGTCCAGTTCATCAAAGTATAGTAATTTACACTTGCTCAGTTTGGGAGTTCATGCACACCTCCCTGCACTTCAGTAGGTCTACAGTCTTCAGTGAAAAGATCTGAGCTGGTAGTATAGTGTCTTTACTGTGGAAAAAACCATGGCCAAGGTGTGGGGAGAGATCTGAATATATGAAAAATTTGCCATACTGTTTGTTTAGTGTTTCATTCCTCAGAGATGGAGTTGATAGACGGACATTTTCCATGGAGCCTGACTTCTAAGAATAATTAACATTTCTTTTTTTAGGAAGAGCAAGCAGTCAGACCAAAATACCTAGTAGGTCAGGAAGTCACTGGAAATATGAGAGCCATCCTAATTGACTGGCTAGTGCAAGTTCAA